TCAACCGAAAGAGTCGTTAACTACCGGGCAGCGAAGTACACGCGAGCAATTTGCATGACCGCCAATTTTGCACGCGCCGCGCTTTACGTGCGACTGATATAAGCAGTCTGTGTTCTGGGTCGCCCACGCGGTTCCATTTACACCCTAATAAATTTTCAACAATAATTATTGGATGTTCAGCCCTACTAGCGCACGTTACATTATGCAATATCGCTGCTTAATTGAATTATGTTACTCGTAACGCGCGAATCGTTTTATATTCCTCTCTGGAATTCTGTATATAGGTATGTCGATATATTATTCGTTCTCTTTTATTAGTCTAGTGAACCATCTACAATAGGACAATGGGATTTGAATCTGGTCGTCGATTTATTCGTGGAACGTGTGGTAATTTCAAGCAGTGTTATTTTTAACAGTAAATTCGTTTATGGTACAGTTAACCATATTATTAATCAAGTATAATATATATGTATGTATATATATATATGTATATATATATATTTAAATATTGAATATCAATAGGATTTCATTTGATTCGTGCGCTTGAAGTAACTTGCGACATTAATCACTGAAATAGTCTTCTAATGTATTTCTGCGTTTATATTTAATTTCTTGTTTATGAGTTTCTACTTTATAAATTGAATACATTGAAAGAATAGTTTTTGGTATTTATAACTACATGTTATCATAATATGGTTATTATTATTGCTGTTATTAATAATAACTGCACCAAAAACAAAATTTATTGAATTTCATTAAATATTTGTTTGAATAGTACTAACAATATTTACTTACAATAAATAAACATTTATTTAAAACAGAAAAATTGTACTTAAATTAAATAAATATATATTTATATTTAGTAAATACTTATACTATACAATTACTTATAAATACTATTCAAACAAATATTAAAATTCAATAAATTTTATTTTATTGAATGTTTCTATTAACAAATATATATATAGTAATTGACACCGAAAATAACTAAACTATAGTTATAATAACTGTCATTTTTATGGTGATAATAATTATAATTTATAGTTATTTTTGGTACCAATTATATATTTGTTTATAAAACATACATATCGTTTCCTTACTTCAAAAGTGATTAAAAAGCAATATAGTTTTCGAATTATTATGAATGAGTTAATAATTATTTAATAAAAATAAATTATCTTAATTTTACAGTCCACCCACTAAAGTACTTATTTCGTTCTTAATATTTTCAAAGAGATTATAATACCTTCTACAACAACGAAATATTTTGAGTTTTACTGTTTTTGTAAATAAAAAAGAGAATTTTCTATAGAAGAATATTTAGATAAGACAGTTTTGTTGTTCGAAATTTGAGGAAGAAATTGTTTTATTTTGCATGTATTTAGTCATTTTAGTTGAGCAAGATAAATATAATCTTGGTGATATTTCAATTATAATGAATTATTCCGGATTTGTTATAACTTTGTAGCGCATAAAAATCATCACAATTAAAAAAAAATTGTTTTGAAGAGTTATAAAACAAAAGTGACACTTAATCATGTTTCTAAGACCATGTTTTTAATATCATATTTATATTTTTTTTTATTATTTGATTAGTCAATTTTTTGTTAATTTAAAAAAGTCTTTTTTCCTTTTCTATAAAGAGCTTAATTTTTTTATTAAGTCATTTTTAAAATAAGGAAACGATATAGTTATTATTACTAATATCATAGCCGTAATAATCATAATTAACATTTAATTAGATTCACAAATATCATAAGCTTTTCTTTCAGTGCAATACCGTATCAATTCCACTCTCGTAACACTTTTCGTAAAAAAGAGATAATTAAAAAACAAAACAAATTGTCTTTACCCTTGATTGATATTTTCTTTGGTAAATATTGAATAATATAAAATCCAAGATCTCATAAAGTCCAAGTTAATTCGACAGGAGTCATACGACTTCGTAGTCATCGAAAGTTAAGTCGAAGGATAGAGACAAGGTACTCGTTTACCCCGTGGTGCCTTCGACGGCGAACGAAGCCACCCTGTATCGACCCAGCGACGCCCACCCAAAGAGCAACCCCCACCATGGATGACCTCATCCACCGGCGACCGGTACCATTTCGCCCAAAAATTCCAGAGCTCGGTGCGTCGCGAGCCAAGTCGCCACGACTTTTTTGTCCGTGGCATGAGATTTCGACATGATTCCGAATGCGGATCCCGCATCCGCGGCGACCGTTGTTGACAAATCCCGCAAAACCAACAAGCTGATGAACTGACTTTTCATGTGAATTTCCGATCATGTCCTCGTGACATGATATTATTATACATTAGCCTTTAGTACGCATGATGATTTTTCGGTTCTTTACGATATACAATGAATTCATGTCTTGGGTCAATTTTTATTATTTTTACCAATATACAAAAAATATTAGATAATTTTTAAATTGATTTTAACTTCTTTAAAAAGTATTTGTAAAGTATTTTGTGTATTAAAAAAATGGAAAAAAATAGAGATTATTATTTAATCAAATATGCTTCTAGTATTTCAAAGAAAGAAATGCGCAGAATATGAATGAGCTAATGATGTGAAATGCATAAAAAAAATTTACTACATCAATTTAATACATATTCTTTCTTTGAATACTTCTAAGTAAACATTTACAGTAAATTTACTCAACACAAAAATTAATGATAAAGTTAAATCTAATTAATGGTTTGTATCAAATAAATATATATTTACATTTAGTAAATATTTACTTACAACTATTCAAACAAATATTTATTACAATTTAGTTTTTTTTTTTTTTCAGTACAAGGGTTGAGTAGGGCCGTTTAAATTACTTCAATTGTTGTTTGTTCAAAACAAAATATTTTCTCAAACTTCATGTCGAACGATTTATCGCTAACAACTACGTGGAAAAATAATTTATGAGACAACTTTGAATCAAAGAAAACTACATAGTAGAGAAACGAGGTGTAGGACCTTCTCCTCGAAAAATAAACTACATAAATCATTCGGAAAAATTTATCGCGTCACCGTACGCCGCAGTATAAAATCTCGCGTATAAAAAAAATATGATAAAGACTAAATCGCTATCATTGGAGTCACTGGTCCCCACTTTATCGTGCAGACACATCGCACTGCTTCTGAAGCGATTTTATTCTTCAGATATATATTAGAGGAATATTTCCCTCTTTCTCTCTATCCCCGAGCTAATAAATTGAGATTGATTGATTCATTTATTTATTCATTCACTCCTTTATTCATTCATTCTCTCTTTTGCTGACCAGAAGAGAGACTGACATTACATTCGAGAGTGATGGTACACCGTCGACGGTAAATATCCCGGATGGCTACGTATTTCGAAATTTTATTATGACATACAGTATATATTCGCCCCTGTAACACACTTCTCTCGTAGTATATCTTTTCGTTATTCCCGAGAACGATGTACGTGCGCTTAAATTATTCCCGCGAACGATGACCCATCCATTTTACTGTGCACGCGTTATTGTATGCGTACAATGTGGTTTGCCCATCCTGACATATTTATAGTAGTCGAAACAAATCCCTGGTGCACATCGCTGGTCTAAATTATTTCTAAATAACGGTCCACCAACGATGGAGGAGTTTTTCGTTACCGCCCTCCACTTAACTCTGGCGAAAATCCCATTTTTTCCTGTTCTCTCGTTTCATTTGGTTCCGCTTGCGTCAGGAACGGTTTTCCCCGCAAAGGAAAGAAAACTATCCGCCGGAGATATTCTCCCCGTCGCGCTTCCGCCTCCTGTCGCGTTTAATCAGTATTCTATATTGCTGGAACGCGCGTGTTATATTCTCACGAAGCTTCACACGCGAGGAGGGCTTTATCGATCCGCGCGGTAAATATCAAAATTTTACGGACTGACGCATGACGCAAAAACCGATCGAAAGGAAAACTAATGGACGCGGCCTGTTTGCACGAGTTCTTTCCACGAGGCTAGGTACACTGAGCGCTCGTCATGCACTCGTCATCTGGTTCGACAGCGAGCTGCTGCTGTCGCATTCGACGTGACGAGCGTTGGTTGAAGCACCTCACAGACATTTTTATTGGTTGTCGAAAAAAAAAAAAAACGGTAAATTGCTCGAAGAAAATAGTGATTTAAGGAAAGCGTAGAATTCTAAAGTATGTGGAACATAATTTATTTCCTCAGAGAATAAAATACTTAGCCAGAAATAATTAGTCAAATCGATAGTCGAATGGTTGAATATTATTTAATATTTTTGTCATTTTTTTACCTCAGTATAATTGTTTCTATGTTAATTCAGTAATTGCAAATATTTCTGTAAAATTTATATTATTTTTCGGCCAAATTTACATAGTATTGATGCAAAGTTCTCTAGTGACACAATTTATTGGTGTAAAATATTAGCTTCCGATGCGTGCCAATATTTAACCAATGTCTCACCAATAAATTATGCTACTCATTCGAAAACAATATAACGGAAAGGTTCTACTGAAGTACCTAAAAATTTAGCTATACGTACTCTCTAATTCTTTGGAGCGAAATCTGACTGTAAAATGCACAAATTAAGCTAGTTTTGAAAAAAAAGTGACTCTAATTTCAACCTTAAAAGTGAGATTTTACTTTTCAGAGAATGAAATTCATTTTAGAGACTTAGCAAAATCGTCCTTTCTGTGTATTCGACGTAGAATTGACCGAGAGACAATAGAAATCTCGTACAAATATTCGCAATTAGTCAATTAACATAAAAATAATTGTGATAAGAATTGAAGCTGACAAAAAAATATTAAACAATATTAGACATTGACTTTTTATCAATATATCGACTGATCCATTAATCTTTTCTGGATGGGTAGATAAAAACAGAAGATTTAAAAATAAGGAATGGCTCAAAGTGTCTCCTTCATGTTTCTCGATTTTCAAGTAAATTATACATACCCTACAACTTTTACGTTCCGTAAAAGTTTGTATAATAAGGATGGGAAGGACGCAGGAATTCTGAAAACAGAATAGACGTTTCTCTGAATTTATTTCTTCGCTTACACGCGCGCTTCGCTGAAGTTACTAAACGAGACGCGTCGCGTTCCGGAAAGGGAGGTACACGTCGCAAAATATTCTTCATTGGGATTTACGTATGCAAATAAAGCGAAATAATATCACCATCGAACCGCAAACGCGGACGGACCCGTTGCGACGAATTTAATTATCGATTTCCCGAAGAAATGAGAATATCTCTCTGGAGTGCAGCATCTATTTTCGGAACGCGATGTAATCAAGAGGTAGCGGTTTATTTCGGAGAGAGTTCGATGGAATATTATTATCGTAGCCAGCAGCGATCCTTTCGTTAGATCCAAAAGGTGAGATTAGTAGTTTCGTATCGCCCGTTCGTTCTCGCATCGTGATACGCTCTTTTCGTTCCTTCAATACGCGAACCTCCTTGAAATTCAATTCTCGTCCCGGGGAACGTGGAATGGGAAGCGTTATCGAGCGCTATACATAAATTGCTTAAGTCTAATCGAACGTAGCTTATCGACGTCGAAGATACATCGCGGTGTGTAAAAGATTAATGCCGATAACGCGGCGAAGACGAGACGTAATTCTCACTGGCGCTCGGTTGGCGCTTAATTATACAGCACTCACACGGAAATAAATCACGATGATTCATCGGAGCGGCGATAAAATATTTCTCGATGTTATTCGTTATTTTAAATGTCCGTAAGAGCTGCAGTATGCCTTTTGTGCGCCTCCCGTCTTCCGTTTCTGATGATTCCGGATTCTCTCTCTTGACACGGTCTCTTCCACCCCGATTCAACCCTGGCTATTCCCGTGGTTTCTCGCGGGAAAGATTCCCTTGTACAATCAGGTACTTGACACATTTCAGATTTTTCCCTTTTATATCCGTTCTTCTTTTTTCTCTCACCTCGTCCGAGCGCTCTCGTTTAATTTCCAACGAGCGACGACGATCATTCGCGACTCCGATGCTCAAGTCTTGTCGCATTTTCGTGCGAATTCTGATGAGTTCTTCGCGTCACATTGCGACGTGGCTCTCATTTCTCTCCTCTCTCATGCTCTTTGTTCTCTCCTTCGCATAAACTCGATTGACTACGTTAGAAACTTTTCCAGCTTGGACTTTGGAGCACAAAAGAGTCCTGTGGGGCACTCGGCGATACATAGAATTCCTTGTCTTTTTATATCCTCGTCGTTTCATGAAATCGAGTTGGACATTCACGAACGCTTTCACGCGATCACCAAGCGAGAATATCGTTCGACAGAGGGAGAGATAATCGGATATCGGCTATTTAATCAAATTGGTCGATTTGATTCCCAGAGTGGTCAAACATTGAAATTTTGCAGCAGCAGAACCTTGTAGACACGCCCAACTTTAGGCTCTAGTACGCAGGAATGTTTCGTAAATATGGCCGTGCCTCTGCAACTATTTCGGAGTTCACCGGTACACAGAGAATATGCATAGTTCAAATACTTTCTTGTAAATCGACTTGTAAGAATGAGAAGATTCGTAGGAAACGCCCAGCAGAAGATGAATGTCTTTCCGCCGACATTTTATCGACCGAAGAAACGATAAACGGCTATTTAATCACCGTAAGAAACTTTCATTAATTACTATTATCACCATCATACCCATACACACGCAAACGAGATTGTCCAACGTAATCGTGCGACGTAAACGAACGGCGTGTTCGAATATCTGGCTATTTAACAGAGTTTTTTTTTTCTCTTACAATAAAACCCGACGTTTACAGTTGCATAGTGCGTCAATCCTGCGCTAGATTCGAATCCTTTTTGTTCCACCGCTTGGCGACCGAGCGGTTGACGCCAGAATCGATGGCAAAAAATCCGTGTTAAACGCTGGCACGAGCCAGATGTCCGGGGGTCGCAACTGTAGTAGTTGGCGGGGTTGTCGTCGTAGTCGTCGGTCTAGGTATCGGGGAACGTTTCATCGGCAGGCTCCTACCGCCTTGCTCGCTCTTGACCCACGGCCACTGCAGAGTACGAATTAGAGTGTTTCGAAAGTCTTCGGAAAAGAGGCAATAAATGTAAAATGTGATCGAGTAATTGATCATTTCCAGCAGATTGGCCAGAGCACGGAACACCTGCAACCGAATACAGTGAATTAATGGACGGATTCATAATTGATGAAGTCATGTATTAGACGCGAGAATGTATGTGTCGGAATTTAAAATCAATTATTGAGAAAAAGACGGGGAAAAGTAAATCCTGATCGACCGTTCTTGTATAGCAATAAAATAATGAGAATAAAAATTAGATTGTTAGAGAAAAGTAGAGTTGTTTTCGTAAATTAATTTTTAATTTGAAATTCAATTCTACTGTTAATTTATATTAAATTGTAAGCAAGAATGAATATGTGTTTTGAAGGTAATTGCATTAAAAAACAAATTTTAATTAACATTTTATTCCTTAACAAGTATTATATAATAAATGTTTCATGTAGGATTTTTTATGCTAAAAAAGAAGTTTCCAAAAAATTCCATCCCTTTCATTTTAAAAAATTTTGTTAATTGAGGATTTTTTATAACAAAAAACGCAAATTCGTTAGATATAACAATTTCAATTAACTTTTCACAATATATAAAAATAAATGTGACACGAAGCTTCTTTTATTATTTATATATATAAATTTATTGACGATGTTTAATATGTCAAAAAATTACACTGACTTACAAGATTTCTATTTCTCAGCATCTGAATGGTATTGAGAATTTTTTATATTTTTATATATTTTTATATATTTTATCCCGTAAAGTAAAAGAAAAAAGTTGTAAATTGTTTAAGTTTGTAGAGTTTTTCAGAAATTAAGTTTTTTGAATCTGTGGTTGATGAAATCTTTTAACTTACATTCTTTCTTAGCAGCTAATAATATATAAAAATCATCATTTAGTTAAAAAATAGAAATCTTGTAAAAGTTGTAAATTACTGTTAAATTATTTAATTGAGAGGCAATATACAATGAAAATATTTAGAATAAATCGCCTTACCTGGTAAGCATAATTGTTGAGATTGCTCTCGCTGAGCGTAACATTTAAGATGACCATAGGACTGACGCAGACTAAAAAAAGGATACTGGTGCTACCCAAGAGCAGCATGAGCCTCCGTTCTTCAGCAAAAGTTCTAGGATCCTCATCACTGCTGACAGTTCTCGATAAAGTCATTCTCCGGCGCCTTTCGCAGGACCTTCTGTACACTATCATTATTCTTAGATTGAAACCGGCGAGAAGGATCGTTGGCGCCACTTTATAAACAACTTCTAGCACCACCTTATACACCTGAAACACATATTTGCGCTATATACGAAGAGTCCATAAAATTAGAATTTAAAATTAAAAATTACATGAAGTAAACCATTTTAAGCTCGCACACATAAATAGAATGTAATTAAATATTCTAGGAAATGTTCTGGGAAATGTTCTAGGAATTCCTTAATTTTATATGTCAGATCTCTTTTTTGACATTAAATATTTCTATGAATTTAGACCATTAAAGCATATTTTACATATATGAATATAATAATAGCATTAATGATATTACAAGTAATTAATTCTAGAATACTATCGATACATAAATTTTATATACAAATGAGTGAGATCATTCAGTGCTAAACTATACTTTCAATGGTCATTAAGAAGTTCAATTTGCCATGCTAAAGGCTAGGACAAGTATTTAAAGACAAGATATTTAAAAATGTGTCCGTTATATATTCATTTTGATGTTACAGTATTTATAACAGAGAATGTGATAAATGATTTTAATTTTCAAGTATTTTATTAAAGGTTATTATTTTGCGTTATTATATATTATTTAATTGTTATGAAGGTACACACACAATTACATTACATACTCCATATTATTATAAAATTGAATTTGATAGTGTGCTCATTCTATCTTTTCTTTTAAGTTAATAATTAAATTATTTGTGTTTGCAAAAATCTTTTTTATAATCTAGAATCTAGGTTATAAATATTGTTATATAATCTTTTATTATTCTAGATTATAAATATTTTTTTATTTAAAGCGTAAATGTGTACGAAGAACTTGTGTTACATTAATTATGAATGTCCTATTTCTTGTACGTACAATTTATGTATCAATAGAGAAATATTGTGTCACTCAAGAGTATTTCAGAATTAGGGAATAAATAGACGAATTGATAACGTTATATTCGTGTTGTTCATTGTTAAAATACTATTTCGAAGTTGTGGCTAGAAAGAAAGAGCAACTTTGCCAGCGAGAAAAAAATATGAATTACCTGATAGTACCACGAGTTGAGAAATGTCTGATTGTCTCTTCTCTGGTAGATTAGAGGACCGTCGGGTGCCAGCAGGCAAGTCGTAATTTCACCCCGAAATACACTCGGTAGATAAACGAGAAATGTAGCTAGAGGGATGAGCACCACTGTTAGGTGAGGTGGTCCGCAGAGTGGTCGCGTGTGTTGGCCGGGATGACAGACGCTTACGTAACGCTCCACTGTCAATGCCAGAAGCATCATTACTCCAACCCCTATGCATACAATTAATCTCTATATCTCTCGAATATAATGCTATGTCGAGTCGGTCTTAAAAGCTCTCTCTGTAGACACCTGTGCATTTCCACACGCAATATACGTAGCGTTAATCGAAAAATTTTTGCATCACGTTTCGTCGCCTGTGATTTTGCTGTACGCAGAACTCTTTTTTCCTTTCGCATTCTATTTTCTCTAATTCTCTTTCTTTGAATTACGCCAAAGCAAACTTTTAATCGCCATAATCGTCGTAACTTACAAGAGCTGCAAGATACGGAAAAGCCAAAGTTTTCCGTTGCGAGCGAGAAGTTCTGCAACGAGCGATCTTCTACTTCTTTCGGCAGTGTGGAGAATAGATAATGTAGAAAGTAGATAAATTTATTCCTTTTCCCCTTTGTGAAGATCATATCAGTCGTTTTCACAAGAATGATATTAATGAGAGACAGAAAGTGCAAGAGAAAGAGAGATAGATGAACGAATAGAGCATTTATTATTATATTCTAAAGCAAGTCCTCCAAGAACATACAATATACAATACATATATACAATAAAGAGTAAAGACAAAAATAAAACAAAATATAAGAAAAATAGGTATGAAAAAAAAGATGTATAAAATAAAATTAACATTAAAATTTATGAAGATAAATGAAAAAATATAGCATGCGAGCAACGAGAAGCAGAGTTTGTTAGCTAAAGCTCGAAACTAAGAGAGACAGAAATATGGTATAAATATCGTTATTTTTTAAGCGCTCTAGAAATAGTATCCTTTTAAGCACTAAAATTAAATACAATTAAAAATTTATTACAAAAAATAGAAATCGAATTAATAGAAAAAATAATAAGTATTAAAATGAAGAAATAAAATATAAATATTACAAATGCAGAGAAATAAAATAAAATTTTAAACTCATAACAAAGTATAAATATGTGAGTAATACACAAATGTGTAAGCACGAGAGAGAGAGAGAGAGAGAGAGAGAGAGAGAGAGAGAGAGAGAGAAGGAGAGAGAGCACAAGTTGATTATTTGTAGGCGGAATTTTGCAGCGGAATTTCCGCGAATTCTCGTCATGTTAATAACAATTCATCGTACCCAAACAGCCGTTCCCGAGAAAGAGTTCGAGGTGAGCGTGATAGAAGGCCTGGATCCAGCTACTCCATCCCCCGGTCTCCTTATGGATGAGCACCCTTAGCGCGAAAGGGATGCAGAAAAGGATCGCGAGAAGCGCCGCCGCGGAGTAACCTGGAAACAAAAAGAGGAACGGAGCTCATAGTTAAGGAGGATAGTCGGACGAGAAAAAATAAGAGCGAGAGAGCCCCGAGACCGAGAGTTAACTTGATTTCATAAACCCGGAACAGCGGGCGAACGTTGCGTCACGATTCACTTAATCATTCTCGCAACTTCCCTAGAATATTCTGTCACCGCGGTGGAATTTTTCATTCCGTCTCCACGAGGCCGTCGCGTAGAACGGAAATAGGATTAAATCACTCTTCAGGATCTATTACGGGATCCCTGAGTGTTCTTAGCCGTTCCCACTGTTTTATACTTGTCGCGCATTTAATACCTATCAGTTTCTGACCGTGTTACACTGATGCGTTCCTGAACGCACTAAAATATTAACGTTCCCAACGTTCGTAATTCTCCCTTCTTTGCCAAGTGCTCTTAAATTTGCATATATTTCGCTCAATCGTTGGTCCACAGTCAGTAGTTTTGTTCGTGTATTTCAATTCCAAATTAAAACTTCATCGAAACCTGCGAATTTAGACAATCGAAAAACGTGGATTCGCGTTTTTTTGCCAATTTCCATTAATTTCCTGTTTTCGTACGGTCGGTCGCGCCGCTCGTTGTGCCTCGTGTCTTGTTACGAGCTTTTACCGTCCATTGAAACCAATTAACGCCCGTATTTACCGTTTCGTTCCGCGGAATTTCCTGAGCGCAATTAGATGTCGACACTTCTTCCGTTTCGTAAATGTTAGATAAAAAATTGCTGACTTACTTCGGATATAAATGCGACGAAAAGAAACTTCTTCAAGCACACTAATAAAATTTGGTTACTTAAAACAGTTAGTCTGACTTTATCTAAAATTGCCAAAGCTCTTTGCAAATTATACTTAGCATTAATATATTTATTGATAGTTATATAACGTAAATAAAAGATTATTCAGATTTGATGCGAGAGTGTCCCGTTTAATTATGTCACAGCCATTCACAGAGATCAATGCTTACATTTAAAAAAATATCAGTGTGAATTTAATACCATGCGATCTATATAATTCTCACTGCGCATTGGTATTAATATTAACACCAATATGATGTGGATTAATCAGTGGCGAATTCACACATTTTTGTACCCTAAGCCTTACTTCTTGGCGCCCTTTCAGACAAACAAACAATAAAACAAGTTGTTACCGTCGAAAAGTATCACTTTTCCAATGAAACATTAAGATCTTATTTTTACGCCAAAGTACTACAAGGTGCTACATTGACGAACACCAAATGATAATTCTACACAAATATAAAATTTATTTTAATTTTGATATTTATAATAGAAGGAGGCATCTTTAGACCTGGGTCTTGTGGGCCTCTGTCTAAATCCACTATTGATGGATTTAACATGGGTTTTAAATTCACATCTTAATAGTGTTGACTATTATGAACACCAGGGATTTTAAATTCACATCTGTTGGTGTTTATATTAATATCAAAAATTATATAAACACCGCATGGTGTTAAATCCACATCAATATTTTTAGAGCGTAGTTTTTCGATTGGATGAGCTCTGTGAGTTGGCTTGTGATCAATCTCAATATGGTTAAACGACTTTCACCCTCTGATGCAGTTCGGTAATCGTTTCTGAATTATCTTCAATCAATGTACGACGAATGAACTTCAGTAGGTTGGCAAGGTTTTATCAACTCTTGTACCGACCAACCTCGAGCTTTCAACCGCCGATAAGCTCGACGCTTGCTGGTAACGCAAGCTTCTTCGATCGATGATAACCGAGTGTTGGATGGGAAATTCAACCATTCACCAGCTGACTCTGTTACCAACCGACCCAGATTTCGCGTTTTGCAGCCACCTTGTAGAGCCTTCCCTAAGCGCCTGTGGAACGGCAGTCACTTTAATTGCGAGGGAAAAGTTCTCTCGGTTCTTTCCTTCCCTAAAGTTTATTAAAGCGCGCGGTACACGCTCGTTGAAGTATGAAAGTCGCAAGAATCGCCCGGAAATTGGCTAATGCCGCGCGAATGAAAGTCGAGTTTTCCATCCGGCTACGCGACGCATCATGGAAGCTCGTAAAACTTTTACGTTGGAGCCGTCACATTAAGGTAAAATTACGTCTTTCCATTTAAATTACGATTTCTCGTCTTTCGTCCGTCAGTAAGTCAAGAGAGAACCAACTAGGTTTCACTAGGGTCTCTCGATCTCTTCGCTAAACGGTGAATGAGAGTATGAGGGTTTAGTACTTCGATCTACTTCCTCGCTTTTATCGTTTTCTTGAAATTACTCTTTTGATACGTGAACGAAACTCCGAGGAATAAATACATACGTGCACAAGTACGACATCGCAAGCAGCCACTTTAACAAAACAAAGGCGGGTACTCGAGTAAAATTATGCAATCCAAATAATGTTAGAGCATTGTTTCTTCATGTAATATTAATATTGTTTTATTGAACAATTGAACTTGTGTTGAAAATGATATATAAGTTACTGCATTTTATTGAGATTGAAATTAAAGTAATAGAATTTCAAAATTGAGAAAATATGATAGACTACTAAGCAATAATGATTGCTTAGTAGTTTGTACGCACTGGACCTTTAGACGTGTGCGCGAGGCGTTCTTTCTTCATCGCGTTAATGTAATAATGCGATGTAATCTAGTGTAATAAGCCGTCCTAATAAGCTTTAACTGTCGTTATTTATCCTTCGTTACGTGCGAAGAATAGAGTTACGAAATTAAACTTGTGCGAAAACTGGTATATATAAGTTGCATTATTTTCTCTTATAATTAATTGAAATTGTAGTAGCAGAAACATTTTTTAAATTGCGAAAAATTATTGCGCAGTAATTATTGTTTTGAAGTTTATATACTTTTTTACATGATTTTACTCTAATTCTATATTTTATAATTACAAAGTAACTATAAAATAATTTATTTAATTATGCGTACATTAATTCTACATATAAAACTTGTATAATTGTCATCTGTATACTTTCTAAATCTCGTCGAGTGAAATCTCACTAAATTTTAAAGAGTAGTTGTTACCACTATGTCTTTTTCTCTAATAATACGAAGATTCGTCGGTCCACTGAGATGTCCGTTTTGACGAATTACTTGGAATCTCATAAGACGAGAAGAATGGTATTAAAGTGACCGTCGCGCGTCAATTACCGGAAATTATCGCGGCTGATCCGCGCTTTCCATTTTTCTAAAAAGACGACTGGACAGACGTCGGTGGACGTCGGTGCTCGTTAACGCACGCAGATACTGAGACTGGAATTAATGTGTCAGTGACCCCTTTTCGGGTCACGGTTCGTTTACTAAACCCTATCACGTTGATTGGCCGATTCCCCGGCGTTTTCTTGTTCGCCCTCATCTATCGATTCGCTAACAAGGAAAAGGCACGAGAGAAGTGACAAATCCATAGAGCCCGGATTGTTAAAGAGCCAGCTAACAGAAATAAATTTTATAGAATGCACAGATATTTAATGTGGACATCTCTTGAATGCGGTACGAAAATCGAGGAATTTTCATTCATTTCGAGGAAATTTCAGCCGATCTCTTTTTTCCTTAAACAGCTGTCGTGTGTTAGAACATTGATTTACGTGGTATAAAACTTTCCTCTCTTTTCCTTTACTGATGGAGGCGCCAGGAACGCATTATTGTTTGACATCTTTTACGAGTGTCTTGAGTACCATAAAGACCATTTATGTATATTTCCACCAATGTAGATTAACTTTAATCTCGGTTCAAATTATTGTCACACTAATGTTCGTTTCCACCAATGTAGATTAACTTTAATCTCGATTCAATTTACTCTTCGTCTTTTTCTAATCTTTAGAACTAGAAACATTGGTGGAAACGGATATTAGTGTGACAATAACAGCTGTAAATGGTTATTCAAGAAATCAAAGTACTTAAACTTTAAAAATAATGCGCGATTAATCTATTTGATTATAGGCTCTCTTATGACTAGTCTGATTAGAAGCTGGTTTTGACAATTTTTCACGATGTTAAGTTTAGTTCATATTTGTGATGATTAATAGAATAATATTTATTTAACTCGTTTATGAAAATAATTTTTTAAATTATATTTTTTGAGCTGTGTAACTCTTGAAATAAGGGAGCAATATTACGTTCAAGTTACGTGCTGAAATTCTCACAACTGATAAATACTATGGCACTCTACGATGCTGAATCATTGTCACGCCTGAAGTTAATATCTTGCCTCCACCCTGCGTTCTCAGCGAGTGCGCGTATATGTCAACAAATACAGGAATAGTGAAGAAAAATGTCTCGATGTCTTACCGGGTGACGGCGTCGCCCGGCATCCCACGGCGACGTTTTACAAATCGCGTCCTCCCAACATGTTTAATTTATCGAAATCCTGAGGGAGAAGCCAGCTGTAGCGTCCATTTGTCAACATCCCCGCAGCGTAACTACTCTGCGATGTCGCGCACCTGAATGGTTACTTTAACTCTATAAAAGCGGCTGTTTTCGCGTAGATCGTTAAACGTATCGTTTATCATGTCGCGACGGATATACATGCGTTTGAATGATTCGCGCCTGACTGAGACGGGTGAATTTAAAAATAGGAAATGATCCATCCATATTAGGCTTTGTATTAGGCTTTGACATTACCACCGAGTTATCTGTGGAGATATCAATGTCCTACAATAAAAATGATATAAGGAAGAAAAAAAGATTTTCTAAGACAAACGACAACGACATGACATGTATCCAAATTTTTTTTCCGGATTATTATTTCCGGATCAAGGGTAAGGTAGAAGAAATCCACAAATTGATAAAGGTCTAAACATAATCGTACAAATTTGCTATTAAATTTTGCTTTGCCAGGCTGTAAGATGGAGCTAATACCGATCAAATAATACCACAAAGTTAGACTCAGGAAAGAAATAATAATTTTATTATTGGATCGTAAATTAAACACAGATTCCTCATTTGACCTCTAGTTCTTCTCTCTCAACTTCCTCTTATTATTTTAAAACACAAACGTACGCA